TGGATTTGGTCTTATTACCTTGTTTTACAATTTTTACTATTTAGCAACTCTTCAATAAGAGGACACCTCTATGTAAAGGACACTTTGACCCTGCCATTAGGTGTTGTCCTTTACAGAGAGGTTCTACTGTATATTTCAAAGTGCCAGGTTGCGAATTGCACTTGATACAAAGTAGGAAAGAGAACCCTTGCCACAGAATAATAAACCTACTTTTAAAGAAATAGAGACAGTAGCCAAATCAAAAATAAACAAGAACTAGAGGATCCTACTTAAGCACAGCTGGTACAGTGGAGTGGACCCAAGAGGAGCTCTGAACCTCAGACAGCACCAAACAACACTAACAAGATTTAGAACAGGCCATTGAAGATAAAAAAATAACAATCTACCCAAATCTTGCCCATAATGTAGCTTGGCACCCCAGCTCCAGAACACATTTTGACTTGCATTAGATGCACTAAACAGGACCTTTGGGAGAGGCCGCTGCTTATCATCAAACAACTCGAGGAGCACGGACTCCAGGAATTTGTTTAATCTTTGCACAAAGGGATAAGAAACAGCAATAACAACAGAGTGAGGACACCTTGAAACCATTCTGGAAGGTCATAGATTCAAGTCTTGAGCCTCAATTTGTGTTTTGTTGTGCAAATAAAGTTTTAATGAGTTTATTGACACGGGGGTGGTTGCCAGGCCCAGTTCGGCACCCTGGCGGACTACTTCAATGCCCTCCAGGAGGAGCTGCAGAGAAACCAGGAGGAGGAGCGGAGCTCTATCTCCAACATCCAGCCTCCCTCCCTGTCCGGGGACTTCTTCACCTACGCTGACAGGGACGACCACTACTGGAGCGGATTCTACACCTCCCGCCCCTTCTATAAGGGCATGGGCCGCCTTCTGGAAGCCCACCTTAGGTAGCTGCTGCCTGTCAACTCTAGGTGACACTCTATGGACAGATATTCTCTAAGTTGGTCTGTTGGTGACCATCACTTGTAGTGTAGACTAGATAGTCTTCTTCTTCTTTATCTTCACTCAATCATATCAGGGTATCAAGCCTGTGGAACTTGAGTGCTGTTTGCTGGGGATGAGTAGAGCTCATTAATTGAAGAGCCAATACAGTCAATGATGTAGTTCATGACTGGATGTAAGAAGAATGCATCTGCCTTCGTCATTAAGATTCGGAGCAGTGCTCCTCAGTAGCAGGCAATTGATATAGCTCCAATATGAAATGGTTGCCTCTAACATGAGGAACAGACATAATATGCAGCCGCTCCTAACATGGAGTACAGACATCCTGTATCCCTGGATCAGGAGCCCTTAAAGGGTCCTATCAGCCGGGCCAGCTGAGCCCAGGTTTTTTAGTGAGCTTGTTACTGCTTCCCCTCCTCCTTTTTCATCCAGGCTTGGAACCCGCAAAGGCGGAGTCAGTTTATCTAGTGACCTTCTGGTAGCTTCCTTGATCCTTTCCAGTCAGCTCATTGATAGTCTTCTCTCTTTCTTCAGTTTGTTCCATGTGGTTTATCCATGTTGTGCTGCAGGGGGGCAGAGATTGTGTACTCTCTAGCCCTGGCTGAGGGTTGGCCCAACGTGGGCATCACAGAGCTGCTGGCCGGGTACATCCACGAGGGCCGTAAGACCTTGAGTCTGTTCCAGCACCACGATGCCATCACGGGCACCTCTAAGGATCATGTAGTCCAGGACTATGCCTCCAGGTGGGTTGGTTGTCCTGTTCCTCTTCTGTTCCCTGTTCCTAACCTGCTCTTCTGTGGCAGCCTCACCCGATCCTTCCAGAACCTCCGCAAGGTGATCTGCCACTCCGCCCTCAAGCTGCTCCTCGAGTCCCCTGATGACACCATCAATGCCTCGCTGCCTGTCCTGGAGATGGTGAGTTGATTGCTCCGAAGTGAACAGTAGAACCTCTACAAGGGACAAACAGGAGAAAACTGAGTCCAGGTTTTCATTCTGAATAGAAGCACATAACTTGTGACAGAATATTTTAAAAAATGAATCATTAGATTATTTTAGATATTTTGTTACTCAGCATCTTTCTCTCATTACCTCTCTGTTCTTCCAAGTATTAGTGTGTTGTAAAAATGCATAGTTATGTTGTTATTGTTTCTTATCCCCTTGTGTAAAGATTACACGAATTCCATGAGTTCATGCTCCTCGAGCATGCAAAGTTATAGTTGTATAGTGTGTGTGTGTGGCAGGTTGATCTATCAATATATCAAATTCCAATGTGCAACTATAAATGATTTGGTACAGTAGAACATACTCCATGAGAGGACATCTCTCTTCAAAGGACAGTTTCCATTGTCAAAATGATCATTTTTACCATTTCATCCAGGTTTGGGACCGGCAAAGGTGGAGTTATACACAAGGTAATAAGACCAAATCCAAATAAATAAATATTGTGTGCATAATAGTGTGTTAACACACTATTTATTCATTTATTTGATTTGGTCTTATTACCTTATGTTTATAATCTATAATCCAAATTGTGCTTTATCACCCAGGCTGTATCGTCTTTTCTTTTTTCTTATCTCCACTCCAACTCTCTGGTAAGAGAACAACTTTCCCTGAAACTCACTCTGCAAGTGTTGCCGTTTATTGTTATTGTTTTGATCAAAATAAAAAATGGCAACCTTTTGTGAGATAAGGTTCAATTTGGGTTATAGTTTAGAAACACAAGGTAATAAGTCCAAATAAATAGTGTGTGATCTTTGATAGCAACACTGTTACAGAAACGTCACACACTATTTGGATTTGGTCTTATTACCTTGTGTTTGTTATCCTCGCTCTTATTCATCTTCCATCCATTTTTCTACATGGCGCAATAGCTTCAATATTGAAATGTAACATTGTATTTCATTGTACTTTCTGACTTGTGATGCCCAACCATATATATATATATTTTTAAATTATCCTTAGTACACGTGGTACAGGCCATGATAATCATGGTGGGTAGTTAGCGACTGCTTTTTACTATAAGCGCACCACATGTCTACCCATGTGAAAAGCAGTTCGACTTTGCACTTACAAATGTGCCAGAGCCCCGTTTGGTTACTTGCACTCGCTGTTGGGGTTGGACTTTTGCAAGAATCGGGGGCCATTGGAGCATTTTTTTTTTGTTTTATCAGAAAAAAAGTGTCCAATGCGGGAATCGAACCCTGGTCGTAGTGGTCGAAAACCAAACAGTTTAACCAGCCTTCCACCGATCCCCCCCCAACCATATCTGACAGGTTTCTCTTTGTTCATTTCACATAGCCTGGGTGACTTTCCAGAATGGTTGTTATGTACTAAGTGTCAACTTGCAACCCTAAAACACATTATTGACTGTATTGACTCATCGACTGATGAGCTCTACTCTTCCCCAGCAGACACCATCAACATACTCTACAAGCTTGATACCCTGATATGATTGAGTGGAGATAAGAAAGACGATACAGCCTGGGTGATAAAGCACAATTTGGATTATAGATTATAAACACAAGGTAAAATGACCAATTCCAAATATATAAATAGTGTGTACATAATAAATAGTGTAAATACACTATTTATTTGGATTTGGTGTTATTACCTTGTGTATAACTCCGCCTTTGCCGGTCCCAAGCCTGGATGAAAATGGAGGAGGGGGAGCAGTAATAAGCTCACTAAAAAAATCTGGGCTCAACTGGCCCAGCTAATTTTACCCTGTAGGGGCTCCTGATCCAGAGATACAGGATGAGCAGCGTTTGTACTCCCATGTTAGGAGCGGCTGCACATGGCGTCTGTTCCTCATGTCAGAGGCGGCCATTTCTTTTGGAGCTAAGTCAGCCTGCCACTGAGTAGTGCTCCCAGTCTTAATGACAAAGGCAGACGCATTCTACTTCACCCAGTGTGGAGATAAGAAAGAAGAAGAGCCCTTGTGTGCCTGGGTGAAACTACCAGGATGAACACAATGTAATAAGACCAAATCCAAATAAATAGTGTGTGACATTTCGGTAACAGTGTTGTTACCATCTTCAGACAAAAGTACTGAATGATAAATTTTACCACAGCATGGTTTAAAGAGTTACTGTTATCAAGTGTAACCATTGTGTATTTAACCATGTATTTAAACCATGCTGTGGTAAAATTTCTCATTCAGTACTTTTGTCTGAAGATGGTAACAACGCTGAAGCATCGCACACTATTTATTTGGATTTGGTCTTATTACCTTGTGTTTATAATCTACTAGCCGAATGACCCGGGCAACGCCCGGGTTTTACCCGATTAAATGCTTTTATTCAAATACTATTCGTTACAATTATAAATTGGCGCCGTGGATGTCATTCTTGTGAAACGTCCCGCTCCAAACTTTGTGTCTGAGAAGCGATATTTTTATAAAGAGATGATCTGGCTTTGTGTCTTCTGCTCGAATGAATGTTTTTCTGTTAGAATTTTGTTCCTGCATACTTAAAATAAACTGGCTTCACCCGTGGTCTCTGCTTTTTGGAATTTTTCCGGATATAATTTTGTATCTGATAATCAAATAGGATACAGCAATATTGTCATAATCATTTTCTGACCAAAAAAAAAAAAACAACTATAAAAAATGGCCATATTTGGGTATATTTATTCCATTCACAAAAGCAAACGGTGACAGAATTGTTGATTGATTGTTGATTATGACTCTGATACTTGTATATTTTAATAATCCAAATTGTGACTGGGTTACCAAGATTCTGAGCAGTGGTGTGGATGCAGGAGGAGGTGGTGAACAACTCCCTGCCAGAGAAGCTGGTGCTCCACCTGGACCCAACATTGAAGAGAAGGTGAGTTCCGACTGGATAGTATAGCTACGAGTAAATAAGACCTAATCCAAATAAATTAATAGTAGAACGAAGTTTGACAATTATACCGCAAATGTTTCTTTTGAACGAAAAATCTAAATTCATTTTAAGGAGAAATAACGACTATTTCTAACCTTATGGATGAAGTTTGTTAGGATGAATTGTGAAGAGTAAAGATAAACAGAAAAATAAAGTGTCCAGGGATGGGAATCGAACCCACACTGTTCCACTTACCAGGCAGATGCTATGTCAACTAGACTACCCTGGACATATTTTTCGTTCGTAAATATTATATAGAGTAATTTATATTGTATTATAAATTTTATAGTGTGTGACGTTTTGGTAATATAATTGTTACCACCATTGTTACTGAGACACCACACACTATTAATTTATTTGGATTAGGTCTTCTTGTAGCTATAATCTATAATTCAAATTGTGTTTTATTATGACTGGTTGGTAGTTAGCTCTACACTTGCTGTTGCTGGCATCTTTTATATTGATGTACAATTTGTATTAGAGCTAGGCATTGCAAGGTATCAAGATGTTAAATTTCAAAGAGAGTAGTAAATTATATTTGATGTTTCACTGAAACTTCACATACAATACAGTAGAGCCTCCATGAGAAGACACCTCTCTACAAAGGGAAGTTTTTCATCGCCAAAATGACCATTTTTTTTTACTATCTTGCAATGTTACATCTTTGTAATGTTTCGTTCTGAGTCTTGTGATTGTTTTTGTGATTCTTCTCTCAGCGTTTATGTTGCATTTTTTACACTTCCTTGTCTTTTATTGGCTTAGCTTGGATTTTGCCCCAAAGCCTCAGCATCAACTACTGACATTTGTTCTTTCCTTTGGCTCAACTTCCTGGCTTCCTTTGATAGTTCATCTGCCATCTCATTGTCCTCCTTCCCAACATGGGCAGGAATCCACTGGATTGAAAATTGCATTTGAACTGTAATTTACATATTGGAATTTGGTCTTGTTGCCTAGAGAACGAAGCTCTAGCTAAAGAAGAACATGTTCCGAGAGCTCTTCTTGTGTTGTTGTTTCTTATTCCCTTGTGTAAAGATTACACAAATTCCATGAGTTCATGCTCCTTGAGCTGTTTTATGATGAGCAGCGGCCTCTCCCAAAGGTCCTGTTTAGTGCATCTAATGCAAGCCAAAATGTGTTCTGGAGCTGCAGGTGCCAAGCTACATTTTGGGCAAGTGGGGTAGATTTTGTTATTATTTTCTATCTTCAATGGCTTGAGATGGCCTGTTCTAAATCTTGTTAGTGTTGTTTGATGCTGTCTATTTCTGATGTTCAGAGCTCCTCCTGGGTTCACTCCACTGTACCAACTGTGCTTAAGTGGGATCCTCCAGTTTTTATTTATTTTTGTTTTGGCTACTGTTTCTATTTCTTTAAAAGTAAGTTTATTTTTCTGTGGCAAGGGTTCTTTTGTGCCTTTTATCGCTAACACATCAGCAGCTTCATTGCCTTCAATGCCAACATGTGAGGGTATCCATTGAAGGTGAATTTTTGAGGTTTTTGCTCTTCTTGTATTTCACCAGAGTAACAAAACATTGTAGCATCGCCTTTGTAACCTAACAGTTTTATTATCTTAGTGTTTCTCTTTCAGCCATATTTGGCTGCAATTACTTTGATGTGTTCTGTATCTGAACCATTTGAGCTGCCGCAGGACGGTGGTGATCTACAACTCCCTGGCTTTCCCCCGCCACGAGCTGATCACCCTCTATGTCTCCACTCCCCAGGTGGAGGTCCTGGATGGGAGGGGGGCTGCGCTGCCTGCGCAGGTGGCTCCTGCCTTCCAGGGTGTCAGCCTAGTCTCCGGGGTCTACCAGGTCTGTTTGTCTGTCTGCTTGGTTTTTGGTAGTACAGTAGAACAACCTCCATGAGAGGACACCTCTCTACAAAGGACAGTTTACATCAACAATACAGTAGAACAACCTCCATGAGAGGACACCTCTCTACAAAGGACAGTTTACATCACCAATACAGTAGAACAACCTCCATGAGAGGACACCTCTCTACAAAGGACAGTTTACATCAACAATACAGTAGAACAACCTCCATGAGAGGACACCTCTCTACAAAGGACAGTTTACATCACAAATACAGTAGAACAACCTCCATGAGAGGACAGTTCTCTACAAAGGACAGTTTACATCAACAATACAGTAGAACAACCTCCATGAGAGGACACCTCTCTACAAAGGACAGTTTACATCACAAATACAGTAGAACAACCTCCATGAGAGGACAGTTCTCTACAAAGGACAGTTTACATCAACAAAACAGTAGAACAACCTCCATGAGAGGACACCTCTCTACAAAGGACAGTTTACATCACAAATACAGTAGAACAACCTCCATGAGAGGACAGCTCTCTACAAAGGACAGTTTACATCAACAATACATAGAACAACCTCCATGAGAGGACACCTCTCTACAAAGGACAGTTTACATCACCAATACAGTAGAACAACCTCCATGAGAGGACACCTCTCTACAAAGGACAGTTTACATCACCAATACAGTAGAACAACCTCCATGAGAGGACACCTCTCTACAAAGGACAGTTTACATCACCAATACAGTAGAACAACCTCCATGAAAGGACATCTCTTTACAAAGGACAGTTTTCATCACCAATACAGTAGAACAACCTCCATGAGAGGACATCTCTTTACAAAGGACAGTTTTCATCACCAATACAGTAGAACAACCTCCATGAGAGGACATCTCTTTACAAAGGACAGTTTTCATCACCAATACAGTAGAACAACCTCCATGAGAGGACATCTCTTTACAAAGGACAGTTTTCATCACCAATACAGTAGAACAACCTCCATGAGAGGACATCTCTTTACAAAGGACAGTTTACATCACCAATACAGTAGAACAACCTCCATGAAAGGACATCTCTTTACAAAGGACAGTTTACATCACCAATACAGTAGAACAACCTCCATGAGAGGACATCTCTTTACAAAGGACAGTTTTCATCACCAATACAGTAGAACAACCTCCATGAGAGGACATCTCTTTACAAAGGACAGTTTTCATCACCAATACAGTAGAACAACCTCCATGAGAGGACATCTCTTTACAAAGGACAGTTTTCATCACCAATACAGTAGAACAACCTCCATGAGAGGACATCTCTTTACAAAGGACAGTTTTCATCACCAATACAGTAGAACAACCTCCATGAGAGGACATCTCTTTACAAAGGACAGTTTTCATCACCAATACAGTAGAACAACCTCCATGAGAGGACATCTCTTTACAAAGGACAGTTTTCATCACCAATACAGTAGAACAACCTCCATGAGAGGACATCTCTTTACAAAGGACAGTTTTCATCACCAACACAGTAGAACAACCTCCATGAGAGGACATCTCTTTACAAAGGACAGTTTTCATCACCAATACAGTAGAACAACCTCCATGAGAGGACACCTCTCTACAAAGGAAAGTTTACATCACCAATACAGTAGAACAACCTCAGTGAGAGGACACTCCTGCTAATGGACATCTCTACACAGGAAAGTTTTCATTACCAAAATCACCATTTTGTAGCAATTTAGCAACTCTCTGGTAAGAAGACACCTCTCCCTAAAAGACAATTTGGCTCTGCAACTAGGTGTGTCCATTACAGAGAGGTAACCAATGTAGTGTATTTTGATTAAATAAGAAAGAGTTGTGCTGCATAATCTTCTTTCTTCTAGTACCAATCAAGCCCCTCAATCATGAAACATGACAGTATTTGTACACATAGCCTATCACTCTGCCATATCATCACCGCAGTTGTTGTGTGGCAGCTGACGTTCCGAGCAGAGATGCCGGCCCTCAGTCTGGCAGTGTTCACCCTGCAGGAAGGGACGACCACCCCCAAGTCCTCTGTCCAACTCTTCAACCACAACATTGACATCTCCCCGGCTTACAAGTGGGTACCCATCTTGTTGTTACTGTGTCACATTATCTCACTATACATACTCACTAGAGGACACCTCTCTATAAAGGACAGTTTTAATCTCCAAAATTGTCCTTTTTTTTACTATTAGCTGCTCTCTGGTAAGTGTATACCTCTCTTTAAAGAACACTTTGACTCTGGTAACTAGGTGAAGCAATCTTTTGTGGTTTTGGGAAACAGATCTTTAATGTGCAAGACCTTTGCAGTATTTTCTAGTTTTTCTACTATATAGGTTTTCTATTATATAGGTAGGGTTATTAACACAAGGGAATAAGCACAAGGTATTAAGACCAATTCCAAATAAATAGTGTGTGACGTTTTGGTAACAGATAAGAGATTCAGTACTTTTGTCTGAAGATGGCAACAATGCTGTTACCGAAACGTCACACACTATTTATTATTTGGATTTGGTCTTATTACCTTGTGTTTCTAATCTATAATCCAAATTGTATACATTATATCAGGTAGGGTTACTTTTAATTGGGATACTCTGGTAAAAAGCACAAAAATTAGTTCTACTAATTAATTAATAAAAAAGTTTTCATCTTTTGAAATCTAGTGGCTAGTCTATGGCAAATATAGTAATTTCAATACTTTTGTCTGAGGATGGTAACAACACTGTTGCCAAAACATGACACACTATTTATCATCTAGAACTTTGTGTTGTTGTTGTTTCTTATCCCCTTGTGTAAAGATTACACGAATTCCATGAGTTCATGCTCCTCGAGCTGTTTTATGATGAGCAGTGGCCTCTCCCAAAGGTCCTGTTTAGTACATCTAATGCAAGCCAAAATGTGTTCTGGAGCTGCAGGCACCAAACTACATTTTGGGCAAGTGGGATGTGGGAACTGGCAAGTGGGAACAAATTTGTGATGATGGTAACAACGCTCTTACTGAAACATCACATACTATTTTTTTGTGAGAGTTGACGTGCTTCTATACTGAGCTAGACAAGCAGAGTAAGGATGTATGTCAGCATATTTTCCTATTTCAACTGCCCCACAGTCTGCTGGTGTTACAGGGGGTTCAGTATAGTGTCCCAGGATGCTCCGGATGACTTCACCATCAGGAATCCTTACCTCACTGCCATGTTCAGTGGGGCTGATGGGATGCTTAGGGTGAGTCCAGCTTCTTCTTGTGTGTCTGTATATACAGGTCCATTGTGTGTCTACCTACAGATCCTTTGTGTCCTTGTATCTACAGGTCCATTGTGTAGTTATACATAGTGTTCTATTGCTAGTGGAAGATTTCTAAATGTCCTTACACCTCTTCTTTTTCTTTCTTAT